GTACATTTTTTTGATATTTTTACTTTACTTTACTACTTATTTTTATGGTGACTTTTTACTTCTACTCCTTACATTTTTACACAAATATCTGTACTTTCTACTCCTTACATTTAAAAAAATTGGCTCGTTACTTTAGTTTTGAATCATTTCAATGGAGTTACCGTTATTATTTTTCACGTCATCAATACCAAATTCAATCTAATTGGATGGGAATCTACGTTGCATTTGACGCACCACTACAAGATGAATCGACAGATTCGGCGGTATTCATTCGAGGGAAATCATTGCAGCTTGGTGGCGGTGGCGTTAGCATAGTAGTATGGATGACGAGATGATTGAAAATGAACACAACGGAGATCTAGTCCTATTGGCAGACATCCATTTAAAATTTAGGCAACGGCATGAAAAAAGTGGTTTCTACTTTTACTTTTATACTTTAAGTAAATTTACAAGCCTGTACTTTGTTACTTTTACTTGAGTAAAGAAGTTTAATCAGTACTTCCACTTTTACCAGAGTATTTTTTAACACAAGTATCTGTACTTTTACTCAAGTACGGAAAGTGAGTACTTTTGCCATCTCTGGCTTTAGGTGTGAACGTAGCAATACAGTGGCTAGCTTCCAGCCATGGCGTCCTGCACGAGCATTGGGGGGGTCGATTCGTTTATGTGTCAGGGGGGAGCGACAAACAGACGAGCACGATTGACGTATCAGGAACCAATAGTGTAAAACAGACCATGTTTTGTGATTGGTGGAAGTTACCCATTGATTTCACACCGTAGCGGGGACTATTTATTTTAGTTTTAGTTCCAGACCTTCTATTCATTCGGGAGAGGCTCAGTGTAGAGCCGGTTCTCCTCCACATCGAGAGGAGTCAGTTGAGGTGGCTCGGACATCTTCTTCGGATGCCCCCTGGACGCCTCCCTCGGGAGGTGTTCCAGGCATGTCCCACCGGGAGGAGGCCCAGGGGACGGCCCAGGACACGCTGGAGAGACTATGTCTCTCGGCTGGCCTGGGAGCGTCTAGGGCTTCCCCCAACAGAGCTGGAGGAGGTGTCTGCGGAGAGGGAAGTCTGGGAGTCTCTGCTTAGTCTGCTGCCCCCGCGACCCGGTTCCGGATAAAGCGGGAGACGACGAGACGAGACGAGATGAGACCTTCTATTCTACTGCTTGCTACACGACTGTGGGGAGATTAACTTTTAGTTCAAACGTAGATAACATACTTATGGAGATTATATTACATTTATAGAGTAAATCTATGTAATGATTTCACACTGTACCTTTAAGACAAGGTTTTTATATTGATTTTATACATGGCTATAACAAGCAAAAATATATTTACTTTTTTCTACATTCTTTTTTGCAAATTCTGTTAGTTTTGTTTTTGGATCTTTTAGACTAACGATCAGTATGAAAGAATGTTTTATAAAATCTGTATGCCATGATATTTTAAAGGAAGAGCAGGGATTCAACTTTAAGCTTGGTAACTCATCTGTTTTTGTTTGGTTGCCGATTTTTTTTCCAATTGATCCTCCAGCACTAATCCGTCATATTCACCAGAGTCATGTTTTGAAAGCAGATAAAATCACACTTTTTCTCTGCAAAGAATCAAATGTGCTGCTGAATCTGTGAGACTTCAAAGCTGTTTTTCTCTGCTCTCTTGCCAGGGTCATCACAGATAGCCAACAACTATCTGGCTCCCCAGGCAAGACTTAAAGCTTTGACTATTGCTATGTGGTTAGAATTCAAACATTGGTTCAACGTTCAGTCGAGCTGCAGCACAAGTAACAGCCACACACACAGGCAAGCTGAGGCAGAGGGAAAACTATGAAAAAGATATATATCGGCAAAACAGCCCTGAAAAGCCAGAGAAATGGATGCAAACACCCAAAAAGAAGGTAAGAAAAGTCAGTGTGGAAAGTCTTTAAAACTTTTAGCATAATTCTCATCACAGATCAACTTCATTTGTTTTAATCCTTAAAAACTAATTTTCTTTGACAGGTCACATACTTTAAGAGACACATCAATTAATTATCATTGTTCACCTTCATATCTTTTATCGCACCAACTGTCATCCATTTCCAGTTAAACTAAACACCAAATTGTTCATGTGAGTCATCGTAATCTAATGGGGAAGTTATCATAAAGCCACTTCAATCTGAAAAACTCACACGAAGTGAAAAGACAATTAGAGGAAATGTATTGATACAATTACTTGGTCTGGTGGTGGTGGAGTGGAGATAGATGAAGTTGGTCAGTCTGTAGACTGCTGATTAGAGAGACGGTATGCTGAATTTTATGGGGAGATCCAGTGGACTGCATTAGCTCATACTAGAGCTTCACTCAGGGACCTGGAAGATGGAAGTAAAGCTTGGATAACACAGGTTGAGAGAACCTGTCCATGATGAGCAAGCAAGGAGCGACAGTGGAGAGGAAAAACTCCTCGTTTAGAAGAAACGCACTAGGTAGCAGACGAGTTGTGGATCGGAGGCCTTTTAAGATGATCTTTGGACTGTGTGGTTCAAAGCTGATTGGCTGTGACGAAGATGGATGAAGGCGAGCAATCAGTTTCTTCAGTTGAACTGAATGCAGTTCTACTGTTAAACTCTGGATGTTGTAAAATGGAGCGTAGGCTGCCTTTGTTAAGTATTTATACTCTTTGAACTTTATTACAACTTGTCACATGATAAGAACAAACTGCAATATATCTTGATGAAATTTCATTAAAAAAGATTTTAAAATATGGGGTTTTACAACATAAAATAACAAAACTATTGAAATAATAAAGCATTGTTTAAAATAATGAACTACGAGTGAGAAAGTATTTTGTAAAAAGAGTACCGTAGTCAAAAACAAAGGGATGATGAATTAGGCAGATCTCTATAAAATTTCCAAAGCTTAGCATATTGTTTTATAGCATAAAGCTGCTTTGATTGCTTCAACAGCTTTCTCCCATACCTATCTGCTGGTCTTTAGTCTTTAAGTTGCTGTTTTTTCTCTAAACCGTAAGTTCTTCACAAAACAGTTACATTTACTGAAAATGAACTACACACATTACAATAGGAGACTTCTTGAAGGCAAATTTTGGAGTATTATTTGATGTCTGCATTTTTTGCCTCAAAGTAGTTGAAAAATTGAGATCGTTACTTTGAATATAGGACAAAAACAAATATAAATTTAAATGTGTCACAAATTCGGAACAACAGTTCTAACGGCACCCTGCGACAAATTGGCAACTTGCCCAGGACGTACGTCGCCTTTTGCCCATAGGCTGCTGGAGATAGGCAACACTGTGACTTCGATGTGTAAAATGGAAGAAAATAGATGGACGGAGTTCTAACTGCCAATGATAACATACACGGTCAGGGACAAGTCTTAGCAAAAACAGGTGCTATTCAGCTCGGACTAAGGTTCCTTAGTCTGAGCTGAATGTGTATAACTGGCATTATGGAAATGCACACACGATCTTGGTTGTTTGTGTTGTACAAACAGTTTGCAACCAAGAGGTCAAACAAGCTTTTTTATATGTAATATAAACAAAATTATTTTGTTTTCCTTCCACTTCACCACCATGCACTTTGTTTCACTGTGCAACAGAAAACACCAACAGATAAATTGAAGGCTGTGGTTGTGCAGAAATGCAAAAAATATCAATGACAGTAAATATTTTTCCCAGGCAGGAAAGATGCTGCAAAGATTTAAAGGTCCTATATCCTGCTTTTGTATGCAATTCAAATTTGGGCATACATGTGAGGAAATAATGGCCTTTTGCACAAGCAAATTTTAATTTATCATGAAATATTACATCTTTCGTCGTGTTGTTTTTCCAATCCAGAAGGAAAAAAATGGGTTTTACTGCAGCAATGCTTCCTACTCCCCCATCAAGGCCATTAAATCAAAGCCAGGAATTATATAAACTACATTATGTTTTTTGGAAGACCATTAGATAACTTTCATAACTGTTTTCCGGACCAACGGAATACATTCTCATGTGTTGGTTTGGAGCTCTGATACACAAGTTGCAACCATTTCTGGTCGTCCATGTTTGGTTTAATGCAAAGAAGTGGGCTAATTATGGACCTCACAATGCTTTATCGTGAGTAGAGAAATCCTCCTTTGGTGATTTGGGAGGAGCAAAGTATTGTTGATGATTGCTTAAACAGGACTGAACAAACAAATGTAACATTTTTAAATGTTTGTGATGCCGAACATTTTAGAAAAGTTAAAAGCTTAAAAACTTTCATATTGCATTATATGGCCCTTTATAAACCATGTGAAAGTGTCCACTGTAACAATCAGAGCATTAGTTTAACACTAGACCAAGAGTTTAGTTAAGTTAGGATTAATGTGCATTTATTTGTTTTCTGTGCAGAGACAATATGAGATGGGTTCTGAGGAAAATAACCATAACTCCATCTGAATGTAAAACGCTATGTAGCACTAGTCCATCTGCCATTGATTTTGATTGTTAATTTAGGAATCTGAATCAGAAATACAGATTCTTTTCAGTCTGGTAGCTGATGTGCTAACAAGCTTATTCTGTCTGAGCTTTTTCTTTGCTCTACCTTCGTTTTTCATCAGCTTGAAAAAATTACAAACACAAAAAGATCCTCACTTTTAGACCCTCCTCTGGTCTGTGTCTGTGGCGAAAATATGGTCCTCTTTTCATTCAGAGATCGGATTAGGGCGAAGTGTAATGAAATTCAGCACTGCACCAATGGGAGATTGGGAGATGTTTGTCCTGGCAATGCTCCCTCATTCTGAATGGAACATTTTTAGTATTCTTCCATCATCCATCTCCTCCTCCTCATCTCCCTCCTGGCTTGGACCCGGTCTCTGTCCAAACTGAGTTACTCTTCATTTTTACCTCATTCCCTGCAGAGATTAACACTTTTCTTTTCACTCTGCTTTTACTGCATGTCTGATTTTATGTTTTCAGTGATGTTACTATGATAGTGTTCGTTATAACCGTGTTCTCTAAACCCTCACTAACATCTCTTCAGCTCTTTCCACGACCACAAGGATGACCTCCGTAAGCGTCTGTCATACACCACCCACAAACTAGAGATGGTAGAAACAGAGTTCGACTCCACTCGGCAGTACCTGGAAACAGAGCTGCGGCGGGCCCAGGAGGAGCTGGAGAAATTTACAGAGAAGCTGCGCAGGTGTGTGTCCATCTGCAGGAATCATTGGATAGTTCACCATGATAGGTAGAAATATATTGCACAGGAAAGGCTTATGTCAAAAAATCTGGTTGCTAACACAAACAGCAAGCTGTTTTATCACCCATATTACAATCAATAATTAGAATATCAGGTAGAAGTTAATTTGCTTCAACAGTTAGACTAAAATTTTGAAAAACTGACATACGGGTCAGTGCGATTGCAGTGCTGTGTCTCTTGGCTTATCAGGGAAGGTTTGGGACTTAAATCAGAGAAGCTGGAGGGGCTATCTGAGAAGAGGGACGTTGGGGCATCTGGGCTGAGACTGCTGTGCCCATAACCCGGTCCTTGATAAGTAGGATAAGCAGGATACATAGAATATAAGAGTCAAATATAAAATCCATTTAGTTAATCAGTCAGTTATTGTGAAAGAGGGAAGTTTAAAGCCTTTTTTTTTTATTAGAAGATTCTGACCTAGTGTCAATGAAAACCCCCAATTCCTTTTTTTATGTTAATGTTGCTGTAAGTTTCCCTGATTTAATTAAATCATTACATCTTTGAGTAGAACAAAGATTTTATTTTATTGTATAAACTCCTTAAATACCTCCTTAATTCAAAATAATACTTTTTTAATTTAAGGTCCTGTAGAATAAGCAACTACTTTCTAACCAATAACTCAAAGCTCTGTGTTTTTGCAGGCAGAACATAATTCATTTTTCTTATTTAAAATGCACAATATAAATGGTTTACAGTTAATATTATAAAGACTTCATACACTTATACAAGTTAGCATAAAACACTTTCGTTGCATATTAAGAACTTTTAAGCTTTCTTTTTCATTGCTGTTGGTTTTTATTCATAAATAAATAGACTAAATCAGTAAATAAATGTAATGTATTTTTTAGCCACTTTCCGTTCGTCACATTTATCCATTTATCCCATTAGACTTACACACAACATAAAATGTTCGGTAACTTAGGGTTAAGTGTCGCGTCCAAGGTGGCGTCACATCATCGGCATTTAACGAGAGGACAATCAGTTCTTCTGATTGGTAGACAACTCATCAACACACTGAAAGAAGTTCACCTGATTAGTATCTCGTTAAACAGAACAATGTTTGTTTGTTCTGAAAAGTTTAAATGAATATTTATTTTAATCACAGATAAAATAAATCACACACAAAAGAATGCAAGCAAAACTGTGATCAAATAAAAGCTTAGAAGAGAGTATAACACTCGTAGGATACGTTGTATCATTACTAAGCTACATTACATTATTTTAATGTTAATATTAACTAACTCAGTGGAAACTACAAAATCAGCTCAATTAGTTTGTGACCTTTACTTAGAGTTAATTGGCACCAAAATGAACACTTCAGTTAATGATTATGAAAAAAAATCTATGCAAAGTGTAAATCAGCAAAATTAAGAATATCTTTTTATTGTTTACATTAAGTCACATGAGGTTCTGCAGTGATATGAAGATTTCTTCTGTTATTGTTGGGGCTCTTATCAAAATTAAACCATATTAAAACATATTAAGAACCTATCCACTTATTTTGTATCACAAAATCTGTTGATGGCATAAAATGATTCATATTTTGGACGCTGCAAGTCATCACCTGCTGTAAAAAAAATATATTGTTTTGGCTAGATCTAAAAAAATCTCACAAAATTTGAAAGCTGCTCAATAAGAAATAAAGTGAAGTCTCAAAAATCCATGTGCACAACACATGCTGCACAAGTATAAACAGGACGTTAAAAATGCATAGGTCTGACATGGTTAACCTTTAAACAATATCCCTGGAGCTGAAATGGATTAAAAGGTGAGACATGATCTAAATCAAGAGATATTTCCATCGAGTCGACGTGTTTATTTTAAAGGCTTACTCCACTTGGTAATAGTTTAACCCTTGTGAAATTGTGCTTGACCTTTAAGCTTTGAGTTTATTTAACAGCTTTATAATAACTTCATAGCTGCGAGATTATAAGTAAGCAACAACAACAACAAAAACATGGTAGAGACCCAGAGTTTATTTTCTGCAGCCATTATAGAAATAAATGTGATAACATCATACTTTCCTTTGGGAGAATATAGAGAAAATAAAATAGAAATTAATTCCATTATTTATTTTTACAGTTGGATATCAAACATCCACACTGTTGTGATTAGCTGATCTCTGTGCACCATCTTTCTTCTAAATTAAGGGCTGCAAGATCTTCAGAAAAGCAGCCCAGAGCATTGCCTCTAAAGATGACAAGTTTTATTTCCCCTCCATTGCCACTAAGTACTGCCCAATTATACTCTTTATTCTGCTTCTCTCATCTCTTTCGTGCCAAAGTTTTATGGCTTGTTTGTCTTGCTTAGTACTCAACACTCTCCACATCGGTCCAGTTAATGGAACCATAAACACTAGTGTATAAAACACACTCATAATTTGACGTTAATATTAGTATGCGTACTAAATAAGCAGGAGAAGTGATAAACCAAACTTTTCGATCGTAGCTACTGATTCGTGGAATTTTACCAGGAATAATAAAAGCAATCCAAAGAGAGAGAAGGGGGGAGGAGGGGTCGACAAAACATCAGAGAAATAATTAAAAGACAGGAAAATGAAAGTCAGACCTTATTTAGCTGTCATCAATCATGTTAAGAGTCTATTTACTTCAGTTCAAAAACCATTTAGTAATCCTAGAGTTAGATTTAATGTTTTTGGTATTCATTCTCTGAATAGTTGTTGTAAATGCTTAAGGCTGGGGGCAGGGAGAATCTGCTGTAGTGGTCAGCATTGCAGCTGATGTGTAGAAGCCCCTGATTTACCATGCTCTGCTGCATCATTCCAGTCTGAGGATGCTGAGGGGTTGACCCTAATGATCTTTGTTTAATGTAAAATCTATGTTTGCACAAGCTTCCCTGGAAATTCTAGAATGGTCCTGAGACCAAAAGCTGTCATTGTTATTAACTTCTTCAGCTTTTGATGGTTATGGCAGATAAACTGTTTTTCCCTTAAAAGTCTTTTCAAAGATCTATAGTTCCTACAACTAAGTTTACGTTGTAATAAACACTAAATCTTCTTTTAAGATTTTTGGCATCATAAGCCAGGTGCAAACTTATAGTATTTGTTAATGCAGAACAGATCTTCAGAGAAGCACAAAGTGGTTTATGTTTTTCAAACATAAATTTCAACTCAGTTGCCGTTTTTTCCATCCTTTTTGGCACTTTTGAAGGGGAAAACTCACATGCAAAAATGCCAGCAGTCATTGTTGCCATAAAAGAGAACGGATAGAGAAAACTTTCTCATGTCTTACGTTTTTATATTTAACATCAACTTTGTTTATAATTCTATATTTTACTTCTGCTCATAGCACTCTAATATGTGGTTACTTTTATGAATTGCTATGGGGGGCCGTTTGTAAAGTTAACTAGTCAAACATTAGGAGCAACATTTAGGGTTATTTAGCATGTTTTAAGAGAAAAAGAAGGGGGTTATTTTATTCCAAGTCATTTTTGCACTATATCATTCATTCATTTATAAAAACTGTACTTCGTCAAATAAATATTTAGTTTGGAGATAAATATTTATTTAACAAATATTTAATTTGCAAACTAAATATTTAGCTTGGAGCTAAATATTTATTTTATAAACTAAATATTTAGTTTGCAAACTAAATATTTAGTTTGGAGATAAATATTTATTTAAAAAACCTAAATATTTGATTGGCAAACCAAATTATTATTTTGGAGCTAAATATTTATTTAAAAAAACTAAATATTTAGCTTGTAAACTAATTCTTGATTAACAAATTTAATACTTAGTTTGGAGATAAATATTTGTTTACAAACTAAAAATATTTCATTTGGAGCTAAATGTTTATTCAAAAAACGAAATATTTTATTTGAAAACTAAATATTTAGTTTGGAGCTAAATATTTATTTAATTAACTAAATATTTAGTTTGCAAACTAAATATTTAATTTGCAAATTAAATATTTAGTTTGTTAAAAAAAAAATATTTGGCACCAAACTAAAGATTTATTTATTTAACAAAGTAAGATTTTTATAAATGAATGAATGACATAGTGAAAAAATGACTTGAAAAAAACACCCTTATTTATAGTTATCCTAATGTTTAACTGCTTATCTTTACAAACAGCACCCCATAAATTTTTGTATTTTGTATCTTTGAAGGTCAGACCCCGAGCTGTTTTCTGTTTTCAACCTACATACCAAGTTGCACAATCTTTGGTAGGGAAGACGAATCAATGTTATCAAACTTTTGTTTCAGGAAAAGCAAGAGAAACAAATAAGCTGGCAGAAGCATAATAGAGAGGTAGAAATGCAAAGCTAGCAGGAAGTCCGAAGCTACTGCAGCAAAGATGCTCTATGTTAACCCTTTTAAAAAGTCTACCCACTATGAATTGAACTGACTTATGAAATGTTGGCATATGGTGTCCAAAATGCAACATTTGAATTTATTTTATTTTGCCTTCATCCCCAAATTAAGACAGGTTCAAAACTGGCCAGCCGGTAGATGGAGGTTAACTAATTAAACTCTTTTGAGCATGATTTTCACTGAAAAGTCTTCTTCAAAAGGAAAGTGTTTTAAACCTTTCTTTTATAATCCAGTTTTATATGCTTTTGGAAACATTTCACAGTAAATATAACCACAAATATGCAGTGATTCCCATTCAAATTAATAGGGGAAGTTCTATGGGAACAGAATAAAAATGCTTCTGCACCATAACATAAAAAGTAATCTGATAAAAAAAAAAGGAGATTGAAAATTCCTACTTTAAAAATTCGGCATAATTATTATTGCTATGTATAAATTAAAAAAAAATGGATAAATATTTTCCAAAATTTAAGAGAGAAAAGTTCTGTCTATATGTTTTACTTTGTATTTTTCTTTATGATTTCAATTTTTTCTTCTCTGTTAGGATTCAAAGTGGTTACTCAGCTCTTCAGAGGATCAACCAAGACCTAGAAGACAAGATATGCAGGACGGTAGGAGAAACTGCTCCTTACTTTATCCTCACAATACAAAAAAAATCATTTTATTTTCGTAATGCAAAGAACTTCCACAGCACAACTCCTTAGATTTGACCTTGTTTAATATTAAAAAGCATCCTTGGCATAAGATTAAGGTATAATTCAAACTTTTTGGTTAAGATTATAACCCTCAGCTCTTGTCTAGCTTAATACTTTTGTAGATAAAACCAGCATGGTATTGCATTTTTCTTTTGTCATTTTTTTTTATGAATTTTTAATGTTAAGTGTTCATCCTCACTTTTTCACATAATTTCATATCTGAAATGTAACTCTTCTTTAATTGAATTCATCACTTTGATATGAAGCACTAAAAGTATATAATCTGTTTTCAATTATATCTAATTTGGATATAGTGTAAACCTTTAGCAAACACTATTACATCAGAAATCTACCAACATGCTTGTTTATTAGTGTCATGTTTGGTTTAACATGTCTAACCCACATGCAGAACACTCAGAGGCAGGAGAAACGTTCAAAGGTTTATTAAAGATGAATGTACAAGTTTTATGATCAGGTTCAAGTGGGGTTCTGAAAGAGTACACAGACTGTGTACCTGAAAAGGTACACAGATTTATCAGATCCAGGAAGGGACTGGACTGGTCACGAGTGGGTTCACTGCAGAGGAGGACAGAGGAGTTAGTGGAGGTCCAGGTATTTTGCAGGATTGAGAGTGTGCAGGTCTGTACCTGTTCTTGAGTAGAGCAGAGCAGCTGAGGGGGGGAACCTTGAGGGTCCCGAGGCTGTCGGCAGGCTGAGGGCTAGGCGGAGGCAGAGCTTATTGAGTGCAGGCAGATCACTGATTAGAGTTTCCTTCCAGTATCTTCTGAGAGCGGGCAGACAGATCTTTGACAGGAACTGTTCTCCAGAGTTCTTCTGAGAACGGACAGGCAGATCACCGGCAGAGAAACTCTTCAGGGTTTCAGGTTTCAGGCAGGTTCAGTCTAGGAAGCAGAGAGGAGAAAACAGATCAGGTTCAGGTTCTCAAGGTGTCAGAGTTTCTGACAGGCTGGTTGGCTCAGGCTTGCTAACCGTTACTGGCAAACACTCTGGCACTGGAGAGAAGCCCTCAGCTTCCTTAAATACGGATCTCCTGATGAGCAGATGAGAGACAGGTGGTGCAATCAGCTCCGGCTCCAGGAGATCTCGTACGCCCTCTGGTGGAGAAAGTGGACAGACCTCCAGATCCCAACAATTAGGTTTCATTCATAAGGACCTTAATAGTAGTACTTGTATACTGCAGTCTTGTTTTGTTATATTTATGGATGTGGAAGAAAATCTAATTATTTTAATACAGTTTTCCACAGACAGCTTTTTTCAGGCTCTTAAATTTTACCTTTCATGACCATGTTGCCTGTTTGTACTGACATGAGAAAGAAGTTAAGAAACCTAAGAACATCACAAAGGCTCTAATAGAAGATTTATGAAAGAAAACCCCCCTAACAGCAGATCATGTGTGCTACTTTGGATCCTAATGATTCCAGTTTGGGTTGAAATTACACAGCTGATAACATTAAATTGTGCAGTTACCACAAAACCATTTATGTTAGTTGATATTTTTTGCCCTCTGCTTAGTGTTGCCTTGGGGACAACTCTTTTCTTTTTGTTTTACAATATTGCACTTCAAAGTTCACAAGCAGCTACATCCCTGCATTTTGTCTGTAAACCACAAGTCATGGCTGAAAATAGACAGCTGCACGTTATAAATGTAAACTTCTAACTAGGCTGAACTATTTTTTGCTTCTGGAATGCCTTAATTTTTAATTTCATAGTTTGAATATCTTGCCAGAAACATTCCTTAAAGATTTCCCAGCTTGCTTTAACGGTAGAATGACTCAACTGTTTTTGGTGTGGTGCTCTGCATCTGTAGCCTACCTGCTCAGTTGATTGATTTGTTGAGCAGTCAGAAATTTCCTTTTACATACTTTGGTAATAAGAAGTTATTTGAACTACTAATGCTTCTCTGTGATCCAACCAAGCACTAGTATTTCCTGAAGCCATTTAAAGCACTTGGGAAGAGTACTGATGGTTGCAAAAATGTTTTCTTTTCTGCTAATTACTCTGAGACAACTTGACCCACACCAACCATTTCTTATATTAAACTTTAATCTGTTTCCCAATAACTAATATCATATAAATATGATTACATGGCACAGCTTTTTGTATAATAATTGTTCTGTTGCAACCAACTGCATCCATTTGATGGTTGCAACAGTTGCAGCATGTCATACATTTTTTTTTTTGTTTTTTGAAATCTTTTGTTTTTTGTCTAATCAGCACATTGTTCTGCAATATTGTTTATAAAAATAATTAACAAATTAAATGCAACCATGAACTCTCTGGATGCAATACATTATCAGATATACTTAAATGAAACAATGACATTGGAACTTTAAAAAAATAATAATAATTTAATTTACATCCAAAAATAACATGCCAACTTCTGAGCTATTCACAACATCATTATAAATGAAAAAATAAAAGAATTTTAAGAGCACAGCCTTAAATATTTGTTTTATTTTTATTTAAGAAATATTATATAAACCCAAATATGTTCAACACTTCAACTTTGTTACCGAATGTAACTGGCTGTTATCTTCTTTATCTTTTTGTGTTACATTTTCCACAACTTGAACTTAAATAAGAGAGTGTTTCAGAGAAATACAAGTACTAGTCATCTGCACTTTGCATTAAAAGTGTAAATTTCAAACAAAAATCCCAGTCTTCACCTTATTTTTTGAAAACGTGTGCAGTGCAGATTTAAAAAAGTCTATTGTACTTGTCTGGTCCAAAAAGCCAAACTATTGTGCCCAAACACAGATCCATCGCCCTATTAGATGGTTTCATCTGCAAATGTTCTTTTGAAAAGCTTAAAATGCCAACCATGGTTTCCAAATGGCAGACGTTCATTGTAATAAATGATATACCCTAACAATAAAGGATTATCTGCTGGGGATAATGTGAGCAATAGTAACAACTGCTCTCTCTGTTCTGAACTGCGTCTGAGAAATTAAAAACTCAGTACAATCTATCACAGCTCACCTGTTCACCAGCAGAAACACGCTCATCTCTCTCACTGCAATTACACCATCAAAGGCGGGTTTCTGAAATCAATGTCTAGAGTAATTGGTCTTAGCTGCTGTGCAACGTTGTTAGGATCTGTGAGAGCTACAGCAGCAGTAGTGCTTCTTCTGAGAGTTAAGGTAGACAAGCCTATAACAGATTTAAGCACTCAGTTGAATTATAAAACTACAATTATTTTAAAAAGATTCTTTGTTAATGAATTACATCATTTATTTATCAATATGATTAGAATATTTTTCCATCTCAGTGAACAATCAGTTGTGTTACATTAAATGTTTAAGAACATATCATCCAAAGAGCATAAGGAAAATCCTGTCATGAGAGGTTAAGACAGCCTTGTTTCCCCACAAATAGTAATCAAAGTACCAAGGTTTGGAGGATTTTGAGGACTCAAATGCATACTGAGTTTGCAGAGATGACTGCAGATTTAATGGAAAGTTCCAGAGGCAACTTACAGAAAAGCAAAAAGCCAGGAGATTAGCCAGGGAGAGACACACACAGGGAGCCAAGTAACAACAAAGCAATAGGAAACCAGCAAGGAGGAACTGTTAGGTTTAAACACCAAACATTTTATGCAGTAACCTGTAAAAATAAAGACACAGAGAATTTTAGTATGATTTACTTGCAAGGAGAGTGATCAGAGACTGTTCAGTTACAATTCTCCAAACCACTCTGAAACAGCTCTGCCCTCACAAGCCTTTATTAAAGGAAACGCCCTGGCTACAATGTTGGTTCCGACTGCTAAAGGGAGGGGTTGAAACCCAGTCGGTACCAGAAGTTCTGCATCACATCATACAATATCATGAGATAAGGAGTGCTTCACTCCTCATCCGGTGCCAGTACGTGCAATCCTCCATTCTCCTGACCTTGCTTCCTGCACACACTAATAACAAGCATTAGAAAGACAGCAAGTGAAACATTTCAACACTTTGTGTAATACAAGTATACAGGAATATGCAAATGTGTAAATATGAATGTATAAGTATAATATGATTAAAGTAGAATAACTTGTACAATTAATCCAACATTTCCCCCCTGTTTATTCACTTTAAGCTATTTATTTTATCATTCAGTAGTCACTTCTTTTCAGATTTTCAACTATGAAATCACGTTTTAGCTGTAAAGGGTACACTCAGAGGTACTTTAAACTGGTGGGTTACTGGTAATATCATTGGAATTAGGATAAAAGTCAGGAAAATGCAAAGAGATTTCATCCTCTGCGCTGTCTTCATCATCAGATGGGTATTTTTCAGTGGGCATGAGGGCATACATTTCTGCTTTCATGGGTTGTATTGCTGTGGTAATCAGTCTATTTAGCAGCGCTCTAATACATGGAATACAACAACATCCACATAAGGTCAAGATGGCGGCAAATACAGCTATAGACATTAAAATAGAAAGCACCAATTGTTTGTATTTACCAAAAATGTCTCCAAATCCATCCCACATTTTTGTGTCAACTCCAGAATGGTCTTTCATTTTGCTGTTAAGAGAGCGAAGGCCTTCAAGGGCCTTTGTGAGGCTGCCATCTGCAGCGATGTTGTTGGGAATAAAGGTGCAACACTGATCTCCAAAAATAGAGCACACACCACCTTTTTCAGCTAACAACATGTCAACAGCAATACGGTTCTGGAAAGCCATCAGAGAGGTAGCTGACAATTGTTCATGGACAGCGGAGAAGCCTTGTTCTGTTTTATTTCCCAGCCTCTGGACGTTATAATGGATGTAGTTGATTCTGTCTACATTTTTATTTATAGTGCACCACCAGCATAAGAAAGATTCAAATCATGCAGAAACTTGATTGGCTAGTTTATACTCATCAGGAACACCTCTGGGTACACCAATGCTATCAATATAAGTAGGGTCATCTCCAC